GAATGAGAAAGAGAGGGCAAAGAGAGAGAAAGCAAAGAGAGAGAGAATGAGAGAAAGAGGGCAAAGAGAGAGAAAGAGAATGGGAGAGAGAGAGGGCAAAGAGAGAGAAAGCAAAGAGAGAGACAGAGCGAAGGCGGATAGAGAGAGGACGAGTAGAGAGAGATGGTAGGTGGAGAGAGAGGGCAGGTGGAGAGTGATGCACAGAGAAAGTGAGAAAGATAGCAAGTGGACAAACAATTGAATTGGGCAAGAGAGTAGAAAAATTGTATTTTGGTCCAAATTTATTGACTTTTTTTATTGGGGGACAATGCAAAAAAAAATACTATTGAAGTTTAGGGTACGATACAAAAAGCAGTAGGGGGTTAAGATGTTTAGAAAATTGATTTTGGGAGTATCTAAATTTTCTATTCTTTTTTCCGTAAAGCTTAGGATGTAAAACACAATTTAAATTATTGAAAACACAATTTTCTTACGGCTTTTTCTTTTCTGATTGTATACTACGAGACTGTTTACTTTTTGTACAAAAACATCAGAGTTTGAAAACACAATTTTCTCACGGCTCTATATTTTATGATTTTATACTATGAGATTATTTACTTTTTGTACAAAAAGGTTAAAGAAATTTTATTTTTAATATTGTGCCCAATCAAGTGTACATCCTCAAATACTCAAATCGCATCCAATGGTCAATAATCATTGATAACTTCCTTGTATTAAAACAAGGGATACAGTTTGTATAGAGCCGAGGCTCTAAACGACTAAAGTAAAGTGCATGTTTATATAGTATCGAGAAATGTGGTTTCAATACTGGAAATCTTTGTGATAGCCAGTGTTCACAAAATCGAAACGGAACGGTTAACCGGTCATGAGCCTAGGAGCGGTTCGAACTAGAACCGGACTAATCGGGGCGGTTAATCCGACTAATCGGTTAAGTAGATTTTTTTTTTCAGAAAAAAAGATCAAAAACCCCCAAAATATTATAGAAAAACTTAGATTAAACTATATATAAGTCATTTTTCTCTTTTCTTTTCATCTTCTAGACTGGTCATATATTAGTCATTTGGATCAAGTTGCAATAAATTCACAAGACTTCTACAGTAATTCAATAGATTCTCATTGAATAACAGTTAGTAGTATTGCAATAAATATATCGGTATGTATAAAGTCTAACCTAATGAAATGTTATATAACGAGGCGTAACTGTTCCAAAGTCCAAACTAGATGTGGCGGGAAATTTATGATGAATGTACTCATACCAACCTGCAAAAAGATACGATTTGAAAGATAAAATGTAGCAAAGAATGGAGTACCTTTACCACTTGCTATGATTTCTTATCAAAAGCCCAAAGAATTCATTGTAAACTTAACCAAGAAACGTGAATGTTTTGATACTATTCAGTCAACACAAACTCATTCCACATTTTCACACTGAAGAAGAAAGTAGAACAAAAAAACATACTTCTATAAAATATATATATATAACATTACAAGCAATCCAACAAGCTCACCAAAAATATATAACATTAAAAAGAAAGGGATTTTCTCATATTCATCACAAAAAAAATATTTTTGAAATATATATATATATATATATATATCATTAAAAACAATTCAACAAGCTCACCAAAAATATATAACATTTAAAAGAAATAAATATTTTTTCTCATATTCATAAACAAAACATCTTTTTGCAAAAAAAAAAAATATAACATTAAAAAGAAAGAAATGTTTTTCTCATATTCATCACAAAAAGACATATTTTTGTAAAAAAATACATATAACATTAAAAACAATCCAACAAGCTCACCAAAAATATATAAAATTAAAAAGAAAGAATCTATTTTTTCTCATATTCATCACAAATAATATATTTTTATATAAAAAAACGTAATTTTATTAAGAAACAAATTTTTTTTAAGAACCCTAAAATCGAGCCAAAGAACACAGTTTCTTTAGAGTCAAAATCAGCCCCAAATCTATCATTTTTTGAACAAATTGACAGGAAGATATGATAGATACTTCAATCACAATTAAAATGCCCCAAATATCATGAAGATCAATTCATAATTGAGATCATTCTTCAAAAAATGGCGGATATTTCACTTCACACAATTTTTAAAACAAAAATGCATAAAAAACAAATTCATATAAATAAATATATTGAATGATAAATCAAAATACCTGATGTTCGATTTATGAAGCCTTGATGATCAAAATTAACTGATCAATTCAATAAAAAACGATAAATACATCGATCATAAATCAATTTTTTTTCATCAAACATAGTTCTTCGAGCAGCCGCATTTTCGGCCGAAATCAACCACCAAAATTCATCTTTTTTGACAAATCAAAATAGAAAAAAGTTTAAGGATTCAGTAATGAATCAAAGCCCTCCATTTCCATGCATATTCATGGGTTATTGAAGCTCATATTCACAAAATGGCAGAAATTTCACAGTTTCAGAAATCCGCCATTTCAATTCACCAAAAAATCGTTCTTCTTCAATTTTTGATTTGATAAACAGTTAATTATAGACACTTTCAGGTGTGTAAATGCAATAATTCACCGAAAAAAATAAAAAAAGCCAGAAAATCGAATAAAAAAAGGCTGCAAAACATGAATCACAGGTTCTGTTTAAAATAATGGCCTATGTGTGAAATAACGGTCTTTATTTAATAGAATACTGCTATGTCTATCGAAACCGGACCGATTGGCAGAAACCGGCCGGTTTTGAAGTAAAACTGCCGGTTCGAACTCGAACCGACCGGTTTTGGTGCTCATTTTTTTTGAGGCCCCTGAATTTTTACGAGTACCCCAAAATCGGCCTTAACCAGAATCGGTACCGTGCCGGTACCGATCTAACCGGCCGGTTCCGGTTCGGACTGACCGGTTTTGTGAACATTGGTGATAGCCTTAAAATATAATTTTATATTTAATTATAAAATTTAAAGCTTAAAAAATAGTGTGGATCGAGCAGACTATGAAAACTTGAAAATCTTAAAAATTGACGGTCCAAAAATACGTTACAAGATGCACTATTTCCAAACTTGAAATCCATTTTTTTTTCATGTTCATGCGTCTTGATGTTGAAATGATGAATTTGAGGATATTTGGGCGTCAAAACAACCTCTTCTAGTAAATTTTTTGATGTGGGTTCTAATTTTAGTGTTTAGAGCTTCGGCTATATATACAATTTTTCCAAAAAAAAAAAGGGAATGCCTACAAAGAGACTATTTATCTGTTGTACATGGAGGTCACAATCATTATTTTCTTAAATTTCAAAATGGGTGGTTGTAAGAGTGTCATTGAATAGACACAAAGTTTCAATTTTTTTTTTCTAACTTCGTCACTCATCCCAAGCTATCCAATTTGACATCTAATGAGTGAGAGTAATTGTGACCTCCATGTATGCAAGATAAATGGTCTCTTTATAGACAATTTATTAAAAAATATATATTATTTCTTTTCAGGATTGTATACAAGGAGGTCCTAATCACTCTTAGCTACTAAATGTTAAATTGGATGGCTTGGGGTGTGTCATAAACTTCAAGAAATTTTTTGGAAGTTTGAATCTAAATCACACTTATAACTACCCAATTTAAAATTAACAGACAAAAGTAATTGTGACTTCTTTGTATTAAAAGTATATCTTTTTATATACTTTACAATAATTAATATTACCAAAAAAAAAAATGAAAGAACTACATCGAATTTGAGGGGAACAGAGGAATTCGAGAAGAGAGGGAGAGAGAGAGAGGGTGCGATTATTTATAATATAATTTTATTAAACTAGTGCTTCCTTAAGGTGCCCATACAAGCGAAAACATATTCACAAATCACATTTTTCAATTATCATGTCTATTCATAAGAACTACTAACTAAAAAATTATTATATGCATTGGTGGTTAACGATAAAGAGTTTTATTCTAAACAATGAGATTCGCCAAAATACATTCAAACATCACATGAATTGAAGTTATGAGCTATTTTGCCTATCTATTGGCAAAAATTTCAACAGAGTCCAAAAAGACGAAAGAAAAATGAGGAGGCACTGCACAAGTATGAGGTGAATTTTAAGGTGTGAGTGTAAATTTTTAGTCTCAAGGAAGTTTCATAGTTTTATAAGGGTGCCAAATAGCATTTTTTGGGATATTGATTGAGTTCCTATTTTGGTAAGAAGTTACATTTCATTAAATAAGAGGTTTTCTGATTTTTGGGGCATGTAGCCTTTCTTCTTCTTTGAGGGGTAATTCAATTGGTTTGACAAACCCCTATCCATTTTTTCAAATAGTTTACGAGTTAGTTTCTTGAAAGTTTCAGTGAAGTAGTGTTAGTGGGAATTCAAACCACAAGGTAACTAGGATGTGTACCACGAACCCAACCCCTTTCTTAGGAGCATGTGATCCCATTGTCAAATAGGATTAGTTTATGTTTCCTAACAGTTATGGGAAACAACAGAGATGGTACCCAAGGCCTCTTTGTAGAGGTAATGAGAGAGAAATGCCTCTTTGTAGAGGTAATGAGAGAGAATTATTGAATGTGTGCATGTAAAAAAAGAATTATTGTGCAATCTAAAAAGATGCAGCAAGCAAAAACATGCACCACACTTGGGTGGACTAAACGTGCTAGAGTGCTCTTTCGCCCTTGGACATGCTCACGTACATTATGTATTCTACTTTCCTTTGCTATGTCACTACAAAAATTAGGGATGATTGTGATTTTCTCGTATTAAAAATAATTGATCTATTCGTAAGCTTTATTTTTGCATTTTGCAATAATCAGGCAATTCAAGCCCACTATCTTAAGTCGAGGCCTTTTCTCAATCATGAAATTGAAAAGAAGCCCTTATACAAGAAAGTAACGATTAAACAAATAGTTGCGAAAAGACTTTTTATTTATTTATGATAACGAAACAAACAAAAATAAGCACATATAATCAGATACTTAAAACAATAATTACAAATTGAAGATTCGGGCAAGAGAAACTGTGAAAAATGAACTCCATAATTCCGCTTATTATTTATGCAATTCATCCACATCAATTCATCTATCGAAATGGAAAAGAAAAGAAAGAAACCCAAAAATATAATTTATTAACATACATGCTGTCGACCCAATACTTTTACATATTCAAAACAAAAGGAACCACATACAATAATCAAAACAGCAATACAAAAAACCCCACGCCAGGGCACTGAATTCCAAGTGCCTCTTGTCAGGGGATTAATTTTTTATTAAGAAACTAAGAAAATTTAAACAACCCAATGTCAGTTCTTCTTGTTCATGGCATGCCTAAGTGAAACTACTAAAAGTTAAGCAACCCAAAATCAATTCTTCTGGTTCATGGTATCCCTAAGTGATTCACCTTTATCTTTAACAGTTTCTTTCACTTCATCAGCTTTTCCAACAATGGTTTCCTTCAAATTTTGTGTGGTTTCCTTTGCAGCTCCCCATGCATCTTGCACAGTTTGCTTGGCCTTTTCTCCCAAATCTTGGGCTGTCTCTGTAACCTTACTTGCAACTTCCTTTGTCTTATCAGCCACCTAAAAATGAAAAACCACTTATTATTTATCTCCACTAATAAATTAAAAATATTAGGCATAAAATTATAAATGGGTTTATATTTTGTGTGAAAATTGAATAAAAATGTTCTAAGAGTTAGAGGGATTACTTTCTTAATGCAACTGAAATTTTAGGGTTTTCACCTGCTCAACTGTGGATGTCGTCTTATCTTTCATGTCTTCGGCCTTGTTTTGCATTTTTATGCTTGCATTGTCACGCATTCGATTTGCCGATTCTCTTGCCCCTTCTGAATTTATAGCCTGACAGAGAGATGGAGAGAAGAGAGTTGCCATATTGTATCATCACCACATGACCAGATAGCAATTGGGATTGTATACAATGCGACTATATATCTTTTTTTTTTTTTAAAAGAGGTCACAATCACTTCTACTCATTAGATTAAATGTTAAATTGGATGACTAAAGTCCGAACTTTTTTTTAAAAACTTTTAATCTTTTCAATGATACCCACCCAATTTAAGAGTAACTGTGGCCACTTTGTACAAACAGTAAATAGTCTCTTTGTACACTTTTCAATATCAATTTATCAAAATTAAGCATGGGTGGTCCATTCACAATAGCCTGAGTAGATCAGGCTCAAAAATGGAGATTTGGGTGAAATCTGCAATGTTCATTGAAAACGAACGGTGTAAACGTCATGCCACCGTAATGTACACATTGGATACATCGGGATCTTTTGTTAGAGAGATGGAGAGAGACAGAACGTCAAACTAGTGAGAGAGAGAACCAATCCACACCATAGTGATCACCAGTGTCATATAGACATGAGCTTGTAGACTATGCTCCTGCAGGAGCATATCCGTGATGACTCAAGATCTCTTTGATCCAAAACTCTGGGAACAATCTAAAAATCACTAGATGATTATATTGAAAACACACACTTTGAAATTTGAGTTTTTCTGAAGCCTAGATCTCACCCTCCAAAAAATTGACCGTTGTTATTCAATAGTGCGATATTATTTTTTCAAGCTAGAAACCTAACTATACAAATTGGAATTTTTTATATTGAGTATATAGCATATGGATCGGAAAGGTTACATCCCCAAAATTTCAGGTACTAAAAGAGATCCTAAATTAGATTATTCTTGAGGGAATATATGAACAATATGCTCCTTCAAGAATATGAAATTTTTTTGGCTATAGACCTTTATTTTCATCGTGTTACATGACGAGTGATAGTGCCCTCCGGATATTTATCACCATCATCATCAAAGCTTTTTTTTAACCGGTCAGACAATGGTATAAATAAAGTATATTTTGAAATTCGTCGAAGATACACAATAAATTATAAGGTAAAATTCCTTTAAGGTTGTAATTTTAAACAATCAAAATAAGCCGCACTTTCAAGTTTTATGATAAGATGTAATTTTGAAGTCGAAAATTATTAAGATTAGCATGAACCAAGCCGCCTAACACAAGTTTAAAAAATTACCATTATGCCCCGATTTTATGAATGGGAACCATAATAATGCATGTACCTGCAGTGGCCTTGAAAATGAAGAGAAGGACACAGTCGGGATGGGATGGATGATGACGGGTTTGAGGGTATTGTTGAGGTGATGGAATCTCATCAAATATTTGCCTGATGCAGTAAAAGCTGCCATCTTTTGCCTTACCTTCTTTTGCCTTTTGTCTCTGAACTTTTTTAGAGTGAGAAAGATGAAGAAAATTCAGATTGTGTAGAATCAGATTCAGAGAAGGAGACCGGGAGGTAGGATTAATGGATAACGGGGTCAAAACTGATGGGCCGTTTATACAGGGGTTGGGCATTTCGGAGAGTGCCACGTGCAGGGTATGATTGGTAGAGATCGTGACACGTGGATGCAGGTATGTGGTATGGGAACAATGGAACGGGTTTGTGGATGGTTGGTTAGAGAAACTGTGCTGACACTAAGGGGTGTTAATGGACCCGCCTGGGGCCGTTATCAAGCTCAGGGCCGGGTCATCGCAAAAACAATAGGATTGGACCAGACCGGGCTTTTAGCTGTCAGGACCAAAAAGGGCCCTTATTTGCCCAGAGGACCAGGCTGGCCCAATAAATTATAACATATTATGGCTCCGCCCAAATAAAGCTCGGCCCACTTAGCGAGCTATTTTTTTATAAAAAAAAATTCACTCTTCAAAAATTGATTTGTTTATTATTGTAAGGCAAAAAAAATAATTACATATTTAAATTTTTTTAGCAAATTTATGCTCATTCTCTCTCACTCTAGAAATTCAATTGCTCTCTAAAAACCCTTCTCTCTCTCAAAACCCATTTTCTCTCTTGAAACCAATTTCCCTCTAAAAACTCAATCTTCTTTGGGAATTATGTGTGATGATGTGAAACTCCATGCACTTTGAACATAATTACTATTTATGGTTTATACAATATCATGGTATATTTTTATTGTAATCTATCCTATGTTTTCTTGCTACGCTTGGGTTGGGATTTATTGTTCGATTATTATTTTTCAAAAAGTGAGGAAATTTCATTATAGAAGAGCAACGCTCCATAAATAGAGGAGAACCCACATGCAACTGTCACCACTACAAAACCTAAACCTTAACGGAACAGCTATACAAGCAATCAAAATCCAAATCAGACCACTCCAAGAACAATCAAAGACAACCATCTCAAGCCCCCACTTCCCCAATCCTCACCAAAAATAAACAGAAGCACACACATCACATATGCAAGAAACATAAGGTCGAAGTTGGGGTGGTGCATAAGCTCCTCTGAACCGGCGCCCAAACACGACGGCGTTGATAAGGCCTGCAACAACACACAACAAACAACCAAAAGTAAGGCAAAAGATAAGTTTATCAAAGAATTGAGATAGAGGGAAAAAAGAAAGGAAGCGAAAAGAAAATCTACCAAGGAAAGAAAGAAAGACAAGAAGCAGTCCAGCTCAAACAACCCCAAAAATTGTATCAAAGAATTGATAGGAAAATCAAAACCTACCAGAGGACCAAGAAAAAACCACAATACGGCACCTTGGGGCCGCCAGAAGGCCAAGCTCCATATATGCATTAGCCTCGGCCATTAGATACAAAGGTCTATGAGAATCCTAAGGCAACAGCCCAAGGCCAAAAGACCAACAACGAGATATTGAGGGGTGATCCCGTCTTGGGCGTTAACCCACAATGGGAAAAAGAGAGTTGAAGGAAAGCCATGAAGGACAAGGACAACAACCAGGAAGAGATCCACGACGGCATATGGCAGAGACGGACGGGCAAGGAGAAGGAAGGAGAGAAAAATGGGATGGGTAAACAAAAGAAATGGGTTACACGTAAATTCTCAAAATAAGCAAAAAAATAAAAAAAAAAATGTCAAAAAGAATGAGAAATGAAGCACAAAAAAGAAAAACAAAAAATAGAAAAGATAAGAGGGATGGGGGAGGGGGTAGAGAACATAAAAGAGAGAGAGAGAATGAGAGAAAAAAGAGATATCTGAGCTCAAAATAAAAGGGAGCGCCGATGAGGTGACTCACAGAGCTGCTAGTTCTAACCTATTGGTGTCAAGATCTGGCCCACAAGAGACAAAACCAGGTTCAAAGGCAACGACTGGCTAAGGTAGCTGTTACGGGTGGTGGCTCTCTCTCTAGGCGGAGGGGGTGGGTGCTGCTGGCGGCGACTGCTGTTGGCAGAGGTTGGGCAGATTTGCTAAGGTTTTCTCTTGAAAGACGCGAGGTCGAAAGGAAGGTCGACGGTGCTAGCATGAGGCAAAGGTGGTGGCTAGGGAAGCAGCGGCGAAGGCACTGTCTTGTCTTGACGGTGATGGTGGCTGAAGACAACCAAGGCCCGTTTAGGAAACCCTAAAAGAGCAACCACTCCCTTTAGTTATTGGTCAAGAAGAGGGAAAAAAAAAACCTGTTGGTTTTTAAAAACTCATAAGTGATAGCGAACCAGTAAGCCACTCAAAGATACCTATTCATGTTGGATTACTTGTCATTTTATTCAGTTATGTTATTGCTGGGGAAGACCAATAGCTTCATGTATTCAAAAGAATGTTCTCTGTTATGCAATTTTCTATTCTTATCGAGTTCATAAAACATGGTTCAACTTTTGGGTCTTGAAACTGTAGCTGCATTAATGGCGCACCAAAGGAAATTTGAAAAATATTAGAATCAGTTATTTGTTGTTCATTTATGTAAGGGCGCAGTTTGAATAGTGGCATGGGCTCTAAACAATCAAATTAGAACTTACCTTCAAATAGTGTAGAGAAATGTGGTTTCAACACCGGAAATCTTTGTGATAGCCTTAAAATATATTTTTTTCTTTATTTATAAAGTTTAAATCTTCAAAAATAGTATAACTCGACGGATCTATGAAAACTTGAAAATATTGAAAATTGACAGCCCAAAAATGCATTACAAAATATACTATTTTCAAAACTTGAAATTCACTTTTTCTCATGTCAATGCATCCGCTGTCTATATGGTTTGAAGCTGATTGGATGATGCATTCTGATTTACCCGTGGCCCTATATAATTTTCATAGGGTGTCAACCTTACACAATCAAATTAAAGGTAGCCGGAAATGGGTTGGAGTTGTGGTGGTAACATCCCCACAGCTAATCACCGTATCGTGGTTTCCATTCATACTACTAACACCACCCTACTAATATCTTCAAAAATCTAACTCTTAATCTACTTAAATTAACAAAATTAACAGGTAGGGGTCTGTCTTCCCCACTGAATTATCCAAAAACAAACATAAATAATAATAATTAAAGGCTGCTTCCAAAATGAAGCTAATACATATTATGCATTGAAACCAGAGATTTAAAAAAAATGCATGGTTGGCACGAAATTGCGTAGTCTGACCCAGGAATAGGTCACCCCATCCTGATTCTACATATATATAAGAAAATGACCGAGTCTTAAAAGGAATGAGCAGTTCTGCATAGTAAAACGGTGATTCTTTACAATAAAACGGCGATCCGAACAACCAATTCATCGATCCATATCGATTTTACTATTTATTCACACGTTTTTTTGTCTGTTCACTATTTTTTTCATACAACAAAATACCAATCCGGACTACCGATTCGCCGATCCAGATCAGTTTTTGAAGTGCATGATCCAAGCATCGATCTATTTTTTTAAATCACTTATTAAAATTTTATTTTTATCCTCCTAGTTATTAAATTTAAAGTTTTAAAATAGTACATATAAAATAGATCTATAAGCAATTGGAAATATTGAAAATGAATGAATTAGTTAATATATTACAATATGCACTATCTTTATGACTTGAATCCTTTTTTTTCATTTATATATGTCTTAGTTTCGGCAATGATCAATTGGAGGGTTTGAAAGGGTGTGAGTTTATATAAAAGTTGACGCCCTAAACAATCAACGTAAGGTGCACCTTCAAAGAGTGTCAAAGATGCAATTTCAATACTTGAAATTTGTGTGATGGTCTGCTAATTTATTTTCATATCTAATTATAAAACTTCAAGCTTCAAAAATAGTGTTGATCGAGACGATCTATAGCACCTGATAATCTTGAAAATTGATGGTCTACAAAATGCATTACAAGATGCACTATTTTTAATACTTGAAATCCATTTTTTCTCATGTCCATGCATCTTGAGATCGAGATAATAAATTTAAAGATATTTGGGTACCGAAACCACCTCTTCTAATAAATTTTTGAGTTGCCCCTTAATTTGATTGTTCAAGACCTCACCCTTATATAACCTTTTTCGACCTTTTCGAATAGTTTTATTAGGTTACATATAAATTGACGCTTTCTATGATTCTATCGACTCGAACTCAATGAAACTTGTATTCTCTTTTAATTAGTGCCTTATAAATAATCCGATGTTACCATGTTCTCTACTTTTTTAAAAAAACTAAAATTACCATGTTTTCCTTTTAAAACGGCTTTTTAAATTTGAGGAAAATACTAAGTTGAAAAAAGGAGCCATGGAAATATTTATTTTCATGAAACTAAAAATTATTGGTGAAAATGCATTTTCATATATCCTTTTCATTTTTTCATTTCTTTTAATCAACATTTTTAGCCCTTGATTTCCAATGTCATCCGGTTGTTACTCCATTACTCCAAGCCTATCCTTCGGCCAGTCATGAGGGCTGACAATAGGTTGGGCCTGGGCCAGGCCAGCCCCAGCCCTATTTTGGCCAAGCCTGGACCTGGCCTTGACTAGGCCAAAGATGCCCTGACCTTGACTGGGCCAAAGAGGCCCTGGCCCAAGCCCAGCCCAGCCCTAGCCTAGCTCGGCCGTGTCGTGGCCTTGGCCGTCTGGCCACATCTTATGGGCCAGACCCCTGTTTTTCAGTATAGAGCCAACTAAGCCACCCAGCCCATTGCTACCCTTACCCATGAAGCTCAGATTTATATAATTGGAAATATTTAATGGAAGTCACTACTCATTGGTACTTCGTCGAACTTGTGGAAAGAAAGGAATAAGCAATATTTTGAAGATAATTTTAGCCACCACAGGAGAGGGGGAATTCCAAAGAAAGATATTATGAATAATTTTAGGGAAGTAGGTTTTTTAAAAGGGTGCAGTTAGCATATCCGCAGCTATAGAGCTAAGGTGCACCTTCAAATTTTATCATGGTATATAATTTTGACGTAAAATGTTCTTAGGATTATCTCATAATCTATTTTTATATCTAATTATAAAATTTTAAAATTTTAAAATTTAAAAATTATTAAAATCAAGTAGATATATAAATATATTAAAATCTTGAAAATGGACGGTGTAGATAATATTTTGTAAAATGCATTATTTCTGAGATTTAAAATCTTTTTATTTTTCATGGTCATACATCTTGATGTTGAGATGATCAATCAAATGGTTTTTCAACATTAAAACTACCTTTTCTGATAGATTTTTGAGGTGCATCCTTATAGATTTTTGAGGTGCATCCGTATAGATTTTTGAGGTGCATATGTAGTTCTACATATAAGGTTGCAACCTTATATAAAATTTTTCCTTTTTAAAAAAAATGTCACAGTCATATTCAAAATGGGTGGTTCTAATAGTATCATTGAATAGACATAAAGTTCTAAAAAACATTTCTCGGACTTCGTTACTCACCCCGGTTATAATGAGAGAAGAATTGCAAGATGGTTTCCTTAATGACTCAAACTTAATTTTGAAAGCAAGTGTATGGGAGCTTATGTAGAGACCGTAGAGAAATTTTTTCATGCTAATCTACAAGCTGATGCTAAGGAAAATTGTTTCATGCGGGCTGGACCTCATTTCTACAATATGCGGTCGAGAGGTATAAAACATCCGTATTAAAGATGACACAAATAGGTGGTCCATCTAAAAACAATTGCAACTAACGGTCCAAATGTTTTTTTAATATAATTATTATTTCTAATTTTCAGTTTTTTTTTTTTTCATATTCATGATCTTCATGTTATAGATTATATATTCTCTAAAACTTAAGGTCAAATTATATTTAAAAAATATATTTATTACTAAGTCTGCATTTCTATAATATGCGGGCTGGCTGCATAGATACCGTGTCCTGATGCTAAACCATTATTACATTCTGAGTCTACTGAGCTCCTTTGGGGGCCCTAAAACGGCAGTGACTCAGGTACTATCAGTTGGATTAATACAGGAGAAGATTGGTCACATTGAAGACTTATTTCAATTCAGATGAAATAAAAGACATTAAAACCACAGACGAAGCACTGCTAACTCAAACGTCATCGTAACGCCCAAACCAATGTATCAGCCAAAGGTGGAATTTAGCAGAAGGTTGTTAAAATGCAGTTTGTACAAGATGCTCGACTTTAACAATCAAAGTATAGTGCACCTTCAACCTTTGCCGAAAAATATTTGTCACAAACTTTTTATGATTGCTTGAAAATTTATTTTCCTCCTTAATTGTGAAATGTAAAGCTTCAAAAAAAGTAACAGATCGAGTAAATATATAAAGACTTAAAAAATTTTAAAAAGTAAATAATTTGTTACAAGGCGCATTGTTTTTTAGATTGAAATTCATTTTTTTATATCAATACGTCTCGAAGTCGAGATGATCAATTGGAAGGTTTTTCAGTCGAAACAACCTTTTCGAAGTGTACCTCACTTCTACAGTATAAAGTTGAAATCTCATATGAGGTTTTTTTTTTTGGTAATTGGTAAGTTTGATACAACAGAATGTCATTCGAATGTAAATTTGGTGTACGTGTACAGCCAGGCCAGATTTGGGCAGGGCCTCTTTGGCCCAGTCCAAACTAGGTTTGGACCAGCCTTATAGGGATGAAGGCGGGACGAGGGCTAGGGCTGGCCCGGCTTAAGCACGTTGCCACCCTTATAGCTGGCCGAGCACAAGCCCTTAGCCTCCATAGAGTCAGGTTGGGTCAACAATCCACATATATTGCCCTCGCCCGAGCTTAGACAAGGCTGGCTGGGCTGTGCCTCCCATCTCATTGCCAGGCTTGGTTATCCAACAAAGTTATCTTGTTCACCTCGTATATCCAATCAAATCCCACCAAAATGCCTTTTGATATCCCATAAATCTAACCAATGACTGTTTTATTGCCTCCTTTTTAAATATTATTTCAATGTTCTATAGTATGTCAATTATCATCATCATTTTTTTTTTTCTAACTATTTGAAATCCGCTATACAAATCCTGATCCATCATTCTGAACTACAAAGGCCATACCATTATTGAGACCACAAGTCACCATATTTTTTCTCACTGCTTGCTTTCAACCAAGTCATTTTGAACTTACCCCTGCCCTTTTTGGGCATTTTATATTAATGTTAATAAGCTATTTAAGTTCCAAAAACAATTTCAAATATCACCTCATTATTGCACCTTCCAAGTATTTCCAAAGGCACAATTCCTCCAACCCAAATTCTAGTGTTTGTTGGGTTCTACACCAACCCGAAACCTAACTCAGGTCTGAGTATGGGTCCAAAATTTGGACCTACAGATCAAGTCCGGGCCCAAATCTTGGACCTGAATACTATTCAAATATGGGTACCAGGTTCGTGTTTAAGTCCCACATTATTTTTCTAAGTATCAATTTGTGAAATATATCTAAATATATTTAAATAAATATGTATTTTAATTTCTGGGTCACATCAACCTTTTCACGAGAAAATTAACACAAGCCTTGTAAGGGTATGTGAACATAAAAGAAACATTCTCAAAAAATAGAAGGAACATTCTCGTTTTCCGTCCCTTCTGGTTTTCAACAAGAAAAATTAGTAGATACCATTGTATCAAAGACCGTTTCCATGTTACTCAGAAATTAGAGAGAATCTATAAAAGCCTTAAAAGATGACCAAAAGACCCTCCATTGCTAATACTTGTAACTAATGTTTCGAAACCCAAAGCAGTGGGGTCATTCATCCCCCAAAACTTGTATATATAAGCCTTTTTTAAGGACCAAAAATCTTTTACTAGAAAAAACTCTAACACTCCAACTTAACACACACACATACATATATATATATATATATATATATATATATA